AATCAAAATTATCAAAGAAATATATAGTGATTAACAATTAAATCAAATATTTATTGTGCTCATCCAATCATATTTAGATGTTCATTTTTGTAAGTAGGATAACTATAAGTCTGTTACATCCGAATCAAGTGAAATGCTCACAACGTGAAAATAAATGAAGGTGTAATTGTATATATATATATATATATATATATATATATATATATATATATATATATATATATATATATTATTTTACATCCAAAAAGTCGTAAACCTTGCAGATTGTATAGACTATCAAAGATTCACAAGAATAATACTCCACTTAGACCAGTGGTTGATTTTACAAATTCACTGACATATTATCCAGTGAAATATTCACCTAGGATATTTAAAACGTATGACAAAACTGATTAATCATGGAATTAAAAACTTTATTGAATTCAAGAATATTATCAATACCTTCCGTATAAAAGAGGATGAAATGATGACAAGTTTTGACGTTTCTTCCTCATTTACTAATGTACCTATCGATGAAGTATGATTGTTTAGAATTCGACTCAGATTTGAATTTAGAATACCCGTTAGATCCATCCGAAGCTAGTAACTGCTTGGAATTGCGTTTACGATCCATCTTATACACATTTTGAGGATTCCTTTACAGACAGAAAGGTGTGGCAATGAGTTCACCAGTTTATCCGATTGTAGAGAATTCATGCATTCTCTAGAAACCATTGAGATTACAAGATGTGTAAATCCACTGAAAGTTTGGTTACAGTATGTGTATGACATTTTTATTATCATTAAACGAAATGGTTTAGAAGAATTGTTTGGAAATGTAAACAACATTTCGGAGAGCATCAAGCTAACAAAGCAAATAGAGTCCAACGACCAAAAACTAGCGTTTCTCGTTTGTTTGATTGAACGAAGACATAATGATAATAAGTTGAAAATTAATGTATTCAAGAAATAAACACATTCTGAGAGATACTAGGCTTTTGTTTGACTCATGAGCATCGTACGAAAGTCACAATTGTAGAAAATTTGATTAACAGGAGTAATAATCTCATTACATATATGAAAGACGAACAGGTGGAATTTTGTCCACGCTTATGGCTGACAATCACCTCAAGAAGTTTTTGAAGAGGATTATTAGAAATTGAAGAAAAACCAAATTATATTGCATACTGACAGGTTGAAAGTCCACTGTTGTCATCTCATACAGTAGTGAAGCATATGAATAAATTAAAAGGATTCTAAACAAACAAAATATAAGAGTGTACTTTCAGGCTAATGACACATTGAAATCAGCATCAGTGAAATTTAAGGATAGGTTTTTAGAGGAAAAACAACAAAATGTCTATGAGATTGTAATGCAGTATATACAGGAGAAACTTCAAGACAATTGAATGTGAGGTTGAAGGAACACAAACAATATTTGGAAATTTTCTCAAATCAGCGGTTGATCCGAAGAAACTTGAGAATAAGTCGGCGATAGCGTTACGTGCGTTAGAAATAGAACACAATATCGATTTCATAGGGACCAAAATGCTTTAGAAAGGTTTAGACACACATAAAGAAACATTGGCAGCACAAGCACCGTATATACGAGATAATAAGAGCAAACCAGATAGAAAAGAGGGTATTTAACTAGCAACTTCTTGGCGAATGTTCGTTAACAAGTGATTAGACTCTATGTTTATCCAATCTATTTATTTTGCATGCACTATTATTCTGGCAGAAACTAATCTGCGATATTTTAGTATTACAATTATACATTATTAATAGTTGATTTCATGAGTCTATCTAAGCTAGACCACCATTGGAAACCTGGAAGCACTGGATTGCCGTTTCGCCCTAGTATGGGGCTCCTCAGCAGTGCCCATCCACGATCCCGCATGCGGGACTCGAACCCATAGACCTTCGGCCTCGCGCGAACACTAGACCACTGAGCAGGCATCCAATGGTCTTTATGTCTAACTTCAATCGATACATAATCTTGCGCAACCATTCCTCCATTGTCTGAGGTTGGAACCTGTCTCTACCAGATATGAATTGTACTTCACTGGTCATGGTTTCCTAACAGAACTCCAGAAAATCCATCTTGAAACCAGTCATTAGTGAGCACGTGATGATTATTATCAGAATGGGAGTTTATCGAAATTGTAGTAATTTTAATAGTTGAATTCATGGGTCGATCTAAGCTAGACCACCATTAAAAACCTTGATCGACAAGACGGAGAAGCCTTTCCTGTAGAGATGCCAAAAACAGATTTCTATTAGTGAACACTATTTGTAGCTTTTCTGGATAGAACGTCGTTTTCATCGCTGCCGTTAACAGAATTTCGATCACGTTTAAATTCCAGATTCATATAAAGGTATTTCTTTGAAACGGAATTACCGGATTCCTTGTCCCGACTTCCTTTTTCATATTCTTTTCTATGTAACGGCTTGGATAGCCGTTTTAAGCCACAGTTTTCCAAAGGAATGCGAGTTCTTCGCTTAACTTCGTGTACTTGTGAAAAAGTTCTTATATCTAAAATAAAAAGTCAACTAGACAAACTGAAGTTTAAGAAGAAACAAAGATAACCAAGCAGTCAATCTAAATGAAATCATGCTGTCTTTTATACTGTTTTCCTGATTAGCTTAATTTCCTCTTACTCACTAATTTGTCTGGTTGACCTTTTATTATCTATAGATAAACTTCTTAACAAGTATATACATGGTCAGATTGTTCGAATTGAGTTACGCTAATCTGATATCACATAGTTCTTATAAACTTCATATTCTCATTGCATTATTCAAATTTATCAAACAGACTTATTGCTTTAAAAGATGATAGACCATAACCCAATAGCTTTATCACAATCTCTGTAGGTCTTGGAACTCTAGGTGATGGGGACAAATCCCAATATAGACTCCAGCAAATATCTATACTATGATTCACCCAAAGGCAAAATGGAACACATATCATTAATACTGCTACTACACACAGTATCACAAAATACATATAAAAAGCATTTAATTAGACTGTTCATTTGAATAAACTTTACACTTCCAAAGTAACAGTAACAATTACTAACTGGAAAATCAGTGAACGTCAATTTAAATTAAATTTGGTGTTCGTCGCATATCTGTACCAACTTAAATACCATTAAAAATAAGAGGGAAAGAGAAAGCTAAATAGATATTTTTGTGTTATAGCACTTGTTAAACAGTGCTCCCTCATGACCTCGTGAAAGATCTAATCATGAACCTACAGTTGACAAAAACTATCTACAAAAAACAACATGAATACGAATTGCAACAATTTATAGAAAGGGAAAACTAAACTGCTTACTTTGAAAAATATTGTCGAACAGTTGTTAACCTATCAATTAATTAAAATTTCCCCCTATTAATATTATTATCTTTTCTTACAAAAAGATTAAACTGTTTTTCATGTATTTTTAAGCAAAGATGGATAGTGGCTAACACTGGATTCCAGGATGCGCGTTTCGTCCTATCCAGGACTCATCAGCTGGATTTACCTGCATCTCAGAGTTGATATTCACTCCGGGGACTCGAACCCTGTACCGTTTGCTTCAAACACTATCGCATTATCCATTTAGCTATTGAGTTTTGATAGCCACCTGCTTGTGTAATGAGGTGAAGTTTAAATTCACTTGATGTTTTTTAACTTGTATCTTCCCATTTTTATTTAGGACTTCAATCGATCAGTTACTTACTTACGCCTGTTACTCCCAATGAAGCATAGGCCGCCGACCAGCATTCTTCAACCCACTCTGTCCTAATCTTTCTTTTCTAGTTTTATCCAATTTGTGTTCATTTTTCTCATATTTGTCTCCATTTGTCGACGTAATGTGTTCTTTGGTCTTCCTCTTTTCCTTTGGCCTTCAGGATTCCATGTGAGGGCTTGCCTTGTAACGCAGTTCGGTGCTTGCCTCAATGTGTGTCCTATTCACTTCCAGCACTTCTTCCTGATTTCTTCCTCCACTGGGATCTGGTTTGTTCTCTCCCACAATAGGTTGTTGCTAATAGTGTCCGGTCAACGGATCCGAAGTATTTTACATAGACAACTGTTAATAAACACCTGTATCTTCTGGATGATGGCTTTCGTAGTTCTCCAGGTTTCCGCCCTATACAGTAGAACGGTCTTGACATTTGTATTGAACATCCTGGTCTTGGTATTGGTTGACAGTTGTTTTGAGTTCCAGATGTCCTTCAGTTGTAAATACACTGCTCTTGCTTAGCCGATCCACGCTTTCACATCTGAATCATATCCACCTTGTTAATCAATGATGTTGCCCAAATATGTAAAGGTTTTTACATCTACTAGATCTTCTCCGTCAATTGTGATGTGGTTGGTGCATGTTGTGGTGTATCGGAGAATCTTGCTTTTCCCTTTGTGTATGTTGAGACTTACTGCTGCTGAGGCTGCTGCTACACTGGTCGTTTTCTCCTGCATTTGTTGTTGCGTCTGCGAAGTCTAGATCGTCCAACTGCATCCTAGATGTCCACTGTATCCCATGTTTCCCTTTAGATGTTGACGTCTTCATGATCCAGTCGATCACCAGGAGACAGAGAAAGGGTGAGAGTAAGCAACCTTGCCTGACACCGATCTTCACTTCGAACGAGTTTGTCAACTGTCCTCCATGCACAATTTTTCAGTTTAATCCATTATAGGAATTCTGTATGATATTGACTATCTTCTCAGGTACGCGGTAGTGTCGAAGAAGCTTCCATTGTGTTGTTCTATCCACGCTATCAAATGCTTTTTCATAGTCAATGAAGTTGATATAGAGTGATGAATTCCATTCCAATTGATCAGTTACTTCATGTAATTTTTTTGTATGTTTCTATGTTTACATACTTACTTTATTTATCTAATTTACTTCTCTATTCATTCGTTATTATTCATGACTAGTTCATTTGAGAAGAACCAATCATTTAATTAGAAAATATTTCATTTTATTATTCAATCAAATTGGATATTGAAATAATAAATTATTTGTTGATCATTGAAATATAAGTAAAACTATTTATGAATGAAATTTTACTGTATTTTAGAGTAAAAAAATCAGAAGAAGAAGAAGAAGAAATTAATTGGACTTAATTTTGAAAACGGAAAGGAATTTTTGAATTCCCTCATTTTTTTGATTTTATTGTTGATCACTTATTTATATATTAATAATACATTTAGTATTGTGTGAGCAAATAGGAAACCGAAAAGAATAATTAGAATGAACAAAATAATTGTTAATTTGCTTATTGTTATTCTTGTAAGTCAAATATATTTGTTTATTTATTTATTTATTTATTTATTTATTTATTTATTTATTTATTATTTATGGTGGTGTAGCTTTAATTAACTCACGATTTCAACGATTGAAATTTCTACAAAAACCCCTTCTGATTATTTATTATTAGTTACTGTTTATCCCCATAAAATCGATAAATTAAGTATTACTTTAATATCAGATGGGTTTTGTGGAGAATGCAGTAATTTCAATGGTTAAGATCATGAGTCAGTTGAAGCTAGACCACCATGGAAAACCTGGAAGCACTGGACGGCTTTTTCGTCTTAGTATGGGACTCCTCAGCAGTGAGCATCCACGATCCCGAAGTTTGACATTAACACCGTTGGATGCCGGCTCAGTGGTCTAGTGGTTAAGTGCTCGCGCGCGAAACCAGTGGGTCCTGGGTTTGAATCTCGCAGGGGGGGCTTCGTGGGTGCGCTCTGCTGAGAAGTCCCATACTAAGACGAAAAGGCCGTCCAGTGCTTCTAGGTTTTTCATGATTGTCTAGCTTCAACTGACTCATGACCTCAACCATTGATATTACTTTAATCTTTTTTTTTCTAAAAATTGCGTAACATCTTTTTTCAAATTACAGATTATATATTTGATATTTAATACTTGGATTATTTCTGATAACTTTTTGTTAAATGATATAACACCATACTGTTTTATCATTGACTACTAATTATAAAAGTTAACTATAAATATAACTGTACAGCTAAGGTAAATAATATAGTTAAAAAGAACATTTCCTTCGTTCAATTATCTTTAATTCTTTTTTAAAGGGATATTATTTAATGAAATGATCATATGAATAAAGATTTAATGACTATGAACTAACAATAACCTGATGAGAGAAAAAGAAATGGATGATTGAATTTTAACTCATCCATGTAAATGTATTATGCTTGTTATTACAAGTGACTTAAATATTCTATGCTTAATATTGTTTTTTGTGTAAGTTGTACTGGACCATTTTCACGATGCCTTAAACTAAAATGAAACGTTTGTTTAGTGTTTATTTCTTATTTTTAGTAGTTGTGTATCAAATGTTTTTATATAGTAAAAAAGATTTACGAAATTAATATTTCAGTAGTTGAGATCATGAGTCAATTGAAGTTAGACCACCATGGAAAACCTGCAAGCACTGGATGGTCGTTTTGTCTTATTGTAGGACTCCTCAGCAGTGCGCACCCACGGTCCCGCCCCCGTGAGATCCGAACCCAGGACCTATCAGTCTCGCACTTGAATGCTTAATCTCTAGAAATTAATATTGTCTGAAAATTATGTATTTATTACTAGGAAATCTTATTATTATGTTTGTTCTGAAATTATATTGCAATATGCTTATTGATATATATGTAAATCATTGATGTGGTACATACCTAACAATTAATTTTTAAATTCAATATAGTCACTTCATATGAATTAATTAGTTAACAACAGAATATATATATGTGTCCGCTTCTCCTATGGGGAAAGCTATAACAGGTGTCCAACTAGAAAACTGAGTCAACAAGTTAGTGAACAGCTCTCTTGGTAGTTAGGGAAGGGTATCATCATAACAATACGCAACTTTTTTCTATCACATTTGGTCGATAATGGTCATGTAGTAGATAGAAATAGGTCATTTAAAGTGGTTTATCGTATTCCTAGTAGTTCTCCTTATGGAGTTGGATTTTGTCTCTTACATATAGCAGAAGCTGTAGGAATTCGAGTAAACAATCCAAGTCTTTGTATTCATAAGAAATTCGCAACACCTTTATCTCCTCCTTGGTGAATTAACCTTGATAGAAGATTTTATTATTATTTTACTTCTCCTCCTTTTTTCAAATATATACTTCATTATCCAATTATCTGAGCACTTCTTACTACACAATCTTATAGTTTTTATGAATGTTATTTCAGCATTTATATTTTTCAAGTCACTGACCTGTTTCCCATCGTGAAACATTGATTCAAGCCTTTATTATTCTTAACACAACTAGTACACCTGTCATTACACTATTAATTTTTACTTTCTACTTATTCTATTTATTTATGTAATCTATTCCACTATTATCACTGACTCATAAATTGCCTTAATTGGTTTAATAATTTCGTATATGAATATAAATATTATTGTATATTAGAGTGAACCCTGATGAGGATCTAATCGAAAACAATATTGTTCGCTTATACACGTTGTTCCAATTCACAATATGGAAAATATATGTGAAAGATTAAACATAAAGAGATGTTAACTACAATATCCCAGGAATAAATTCATTTCCTTCTTTTTTAGTAGTATGAAATATGCATTGAAGCAAAATATTACTAGTTGATAAGTGATTTAGAACTAGCAATATATATATATATATATATATATATATATATATATATATATATATATATATATATATATATATATATATATATATTACTCACTACTAAACAAAACGTTTTTGAGAACCATTTGAATCTTTTTTATTAAAGCAACTTTGGTGTAAATTGTAATACAGACAAGGAGCTATTTTTACTCTTGGAATTGTATATTGATAAGTATGAGTATTATCTCTCACTCAACGGATTTAGTTTAATCATATCATCAGTTAATCTGATAAATTTAACTTTTATAAAACAAATATTTTCTTTAACAAAAGGTTTTTCGATTGAGAAATCTGTTAAATAAGTACATGGTCATTGAACAGGTAATAAGTTACATTTTGAAACACACTTATTATGATTAATCCATGATAAAAATTGATCCAAAACATACAGATATCTTAGTAACAATTTACTCCAACCACTGTGTGTGAACATTAAAAGAGAGAGTGAATAAGGGCTTAATTTAATAAAGATGAACATCAAAGGAGCAATTTAACCGTGTAATAAAATAATATTACTAATATATTAACTGAGTAAATATCATAAACTAAGTCATCATTAAAAGGACGATTGATTTATATAATTTATATACTATTTACATTTGTAGAGTTTTATAACACTGTGTCTAATATATTCATGTTTAAATCATGTACTATTTTGCATCAACGGTAGAATAGATCTGTTTCTATAATCTTATATGACCAGTGTAATACGCATTACTACCTCTTTGTATTTCTTTTTTTCCATACGGTTAATGGATCTCAACAACGAAGTGTTCGATTTTCAACTTTTTAAAATTCTGTTCATTTTATAAAGCATTAATTAATTGTCTAAAGCTTCCACCACGGAACAGTCTTGTTTGTAATACTAAATCTATGTGATCATCAAATGTTTTAGGTTGCTCAATCCAGGTGTTCTCGAAATAACACGTGATTAGTTTAAATTTTTCATTCTTCGAGCGAAATGGTAACTTCATTAGACTATCAAATGAAAGTATGACACCTACAACCAATACAAAAAATAATTCTGGCAACTGATGGGTTAACAAATCAAAATTTTTATTCGTTGTTGAAAGTTAACTAATTATTGTAACCTCCTATGTACATATTGGGTCAGGTGGAAGAACAAACCTCGTGGTACTGCATTTGGATATAGTTTTGAAATCGTGGTAAAGCTGAATGTTCGTAATCAGTCATGACAGCTGATGAATTTATAATCAGGCACTGTTCGTTTAGTTTATTGAAGGTGAGCATACATGAATTCGTACTTTTACCACTCACTTGAATGTAAACCAGGAAAATAATCATATTGAATTCCATAACATGAATTGTGGAACTCTGAATAAATTAAGGTGATGAGGTCTTAATTGTTCCATCAGCGTATCATTAATCACACAGCTCCAACAATTCTCGATTCAAAGTTGAAAAAAATTGTCTTTATCTAATGCATTAACATTCAAAATGAAATTCTTTTTTCTAACAGTCATTTTTTATTCAAATGATCCATCCATTGAAGTTGGGTTTGGCAAGGTTATCTGATGCCCACATTGTGTGCACCAGATGATCTGCTTCAGCCAAATCACTAACTGAGGTTGAGCTAACACTAAATGTGATAAATCTACGGATGTATTAGCTACAATTTAATGTATCGCTTTTATTGGTGAAAAAGCTCGATATTTTATCTAACTGATTATATTTTGCCTCTACCTCAGCTTTACCCAGGACACGATTGCGTTACGTCGATTTCTTTGTAACAACTCCCTATTTCATACGACATACTAACCTAAACTTCTTTCTACAGTATTCCCTATACCTCCGAATCTTGTCATTATTCACCAAAAAGTTTACTAACATACTCTTCATCCATTTATAGCCCTTTATTTTCTATTATACATTTTATCTATAACGTTTGTAATTGCAAAGGAAATGTCCTTTTTTTAAAAATGGACAGTTGAGTTGTTATTATTAACATTTTTCAGGAAATTTCTATCATAATATTCGACTGTCTTAGGTTATAGCACTATTAAATTGATTAACAACTTTTTCAGGAGAACTGGATAGTGGTTAGCATTGAAATCTAAGACGCTCGTTTCGTATTGTTTGAGGCGCGTTAGCTGAATGTACCTATGCATCAGTGTTGATGTTCACTCTGAAAATGAAACCCAGTGGTTCTCGCTTTAGACGCCAGTGTGTTATCCACTTAGCTACTAAGTTCGATTGGTTACTGATTTGTGCAACAGAGATGAATTATAAGTCAGTTTGAATCTTGTTGTCGGTGTCCTAGACTCCATCGCTAGTTACTACCTAACTCTGCTTAAAATTGCTTGTGACTAATGCCTGTATCAATGGAACTCGCTCAGGATGTACGTATACCGAAATAGACTGATCACTTGCAGACTTTAACACCAATACTGAGAATATTCAAACACTTACAGATAAATGAAAAATGAATCTATTTGAAACAACTATTTACTCATAAATTAACTGGTTGACAACCGGGCCAGTTGTGAGATATCAGCTCACTAAAGACAATGGTTTACGGTGGTGCGATTTCGTGGATTGATTGAAGCTAGACATTAACACCGTTGGATGCCGGCTCAGTGGTCTAGAGGTTAA